AATTAATAGGAAGTGTCTGCTCCTGAAACCAAGGATTCTATATCAACCAGTAAGATGAAGATTGCATCCTTAAGAAGAGGGCATATGATGGACACTAAGATACTTGAAGCTTCTTGGAAGCTTGGGCTCTGTAAAAAGAAGTATATGTGTCTGTTCAGTTAAAAACAGACGGCAAAGATGCTGACTCTCATTTTAAGAGAAATACTGGTGCTATAAAGGACAGCTGCAGAGAGGTTTTTGTAACAGTATTAGAAGGGATTTGGATAACATACAGAATGGAGAGATGTCCAAGAGGAGTTTCTGATTCCAGACAAATTATGTCTGTAGATGCTGTAAAGACAGCCTGCACTAAGGAAGATGGTACTGTGCATGACTGCACTGAAGGAACTATCTCAGTAGATGTGAAGTTCCTATGGGGATGCAATCCTAAAGATTTTTAAGCAGACTGCCTTTGTGGAGGATCCTCAGACAGAGATACTTTTCATTCACCTTTTCATCAAAAATAGTTTCAGACAGGCATCAAAATCTTTTTACATGTGCTTAAAGAGAGTTTTACAAATTAAATGTTTCTTTGAGATATGCACTTCCTCTAGCTGAAAAAAAGGAACGCATGAGCTTATCATTCATTGACAAAGCTGCCTCACAGGTCAGGTGGTGCTTAGAACCTGGAGACTGAGTCTCAGTCATAGGACCAGTTCCACAATGCTGTTCAAAAACAAAAGAAAAAAAAAAGAATCCTCTTTGCTCAGCCCTCCCCCACTTTTTTATTGCTCCAGTGAAACTTATGAAGTATAAAACTATGAAGAACTCTTTTCAAAGATCAGTGGAACAGAGAACACTTCCCTGCAGATTTCAAATGAAGTTCCACTGCCCATATGAAAACTATGTTTAAATTGTTGAGACCACCAAAAGGAATCTATTTCCCAGTCCTGTTATAACTACACAGTAACTATACATGCTCTTGCTAACCATTTTAGATAATGGACTGAGAAGGCTAGTAGCTGCAATTCTGTTGAGGATCTGGACACTCCCGGTAACTTGACATAGAACAGTGTTTTTCAACCTGTGATACGCGTACCCTTGGGAGTCTGCGAGACATGGGTACACTGGTGCTACATTTTGGTCTTTGCCTGCTCGGGCTGGAAGTTCCAGCTGCTGCCCCTCCCGCCGTGTCCAGTGCACCGGGGCTTTCTCTCCCCAGCGTCAGTGTGCCAGGGGATAGGGAGGGAGGCCCCACACAGGCTGCTTTGCCCTGGGCTGCGGTGGAAAAAATGGGTCTCGGCTCATGGCGGCGAAACCTAAGGTGCTATGGTGGGACTTCTGGTTTCGCTTTTGCCACGTCGATCAGCAGGGGATAAGTAAGGTACCAAAGGTTGAAAATCACTGACATAGAATAAGTATTCAGAGATTTCTGATATTGAGGCTACTGTTAGAGAGGTATTGTTGTTGGTCACCTCTAGCAAGCACCTTCTCTGCTTGTAAGAGTAGATGGTTTTTATGGGTTTTAGTAGAGATCTCTTGCACTTGGACTGGGCAATAAAGTTCTGAAGCAAGCCAAGTTCCATGGCCCAAGTACATAAGATGGAAAGGTTCTTAGGAGGTTGAATCTCTCCCTTGTTTTGTGATTAGTAAAACAAAGGATTTCCACAAGTTTTCAGCAGCAAGTCAGAAGGCCATTGTTACATGGCCTATGCTAGTGCACCAGAAATGCTCTGATGTTGTTCTGTGTGATCTTTTCATTGCACCCTTTGGTGTTAGAGGAACTAGTGAAAGGCATAGGGAGCCCTGTTACCAGTTCCTGGAGGACAGTATCCAATATCAATTGTCCATACTTGTTCTGAGGCAGAATTTATTGGATTTGGTGCTCTGAGTGCTAGCAAAGAGATCTGAGTCTGCTGCCCCAATTTGTGAAAAATCTAGTCTCACAATTTTGTAAGTGAAATGTAGTTCTGAGGTTTTTGGCTGTAGCTGTTTGTAGAAGTGGTTTCCTGAGTTTGAAGGAACTAACTGATTGGTAGGAGGAGTCATGCTGCTACCCTACTCAGAAGGACCATCAGAAGCAGTAAAACAGAAGCAGTTACTGGATCTGAACCAACCTGGTATTCATATCTATTCTGTTCTATTCATATCTATTCTGTATTCATATCAATGAGTTTATAGGGGATGCCACACCTAGTGTCTTACATCATGACACAGGGCACACACACTGCCCTTTGGACAATGATCAGAGCCCAAAGACTCCAAACTTAGCTGCTGGTAAATTCTGCCAAAGGAGGGCCTGGAGACTGTTCTGTTTCAGTTACATGTCCATGAGGTGAAAAACTGATACCCAGAAAATTAAGATGGGTGCGTGCCTCATCGAGACATGCCAGACACCAAACATATATCAATGTTGGGAAGGACCCTGGAACAGGGTACATGCCATTAGAGCCTCACCATGGGTTCTATTATGATGGATCCTTTCATCTGTGGAACCAAAGAACCTTGAAACTAGAGAGCTTCGCAACCCAAAAGTTGTCTAAAATGTTAAAAACAACAGTCTAACCTAAAATAGTTAACAACAACAACTTGGGACAAAAGTTTTTTCAGTAAATTCAGCAGTTAATGAAAAATGGGACAGAAACTGCAGGTCTGCACAGCATCCCTGCTGAAAGGAACTGAGGCAACCCAGGCCTGTGTCGTAACCTTGCCTTATTTGAGCTGTGAGGAAGGGTACACAGGTTCCCCAAAGGCCAATGTTCCTGGGAGTTCCACTGGACTGTTGCACTTGGGGGGAATCCAGGTTTGCAGGAGCAGAAACCACTCAAAGAGGAATGCTAATTATCAACAATCTAATCTATTTGTCTGTTTCCACTTGAGGTTCCCAAAGCATTTTACAGATATTTTGTTAATAAGGCCTCAGAGCCCCCACCCCAGTGGTCACCTCCCAACCCATGCCATGCAACCACAGTTCAAATTACACTTTGACTCTTGGGGAAGTCTGCAAAAAAATTGGTCTGCTCATCACGATGTCTCAATAAAATCAGAGACACCCTCCACCCCAGGTTATGATTTTCAAATCTTATGGGGGGGGGGAGGCGGGTCTCATCCCCCCTGAGCTCCCTCATAATACAAACCCTGCATGGAACTATATTTAGGGTATGTCGAAGCATCTGTGGAATGGCAGTGCCACACATCTAAAACAGAAAGTAAAGGTGTACTCTTAATCAAATCAATGAGCAAGGGCAATTTAGGAAGGCAAAATGGAATCATCCAGAGTGCGAGTAAGACCAGAATGCCAGGAGATAATTAATGGCCACCCGAGTTGAAGGTGTCTTTTTATGTTATATCTTAAAGAAAGGTATTTCCAGCAGCAAAGTAATCCTTGGCACTGTACTGAGGCACTGGGGTCAGCATTGGCTCTTGCAAAAGAGTACACTCTTGTGTGTGACTTTCAACAATCAGTGCTGAACCTAGGGTGTGTGTTCCTTAGAGGTCTCCCATCCAAGTACTAACTAATAGAATGCTGCTTGACTTAGGAGAACAGCTAAATCTTCCCACATGCACTGTACAGAGCAAGATGTACACATGTGGACATGAGGGCTTGTATCTCTAAACACGTGGCACTAGCTGGAAGATATTCTCGGGGGAGATCAGTGGGGTGATCCCTTGGGCTACATTTCTTTTAGATTAAAAGAAATAAAAGATGAAATAAAAGATGTAAAGAAATAAAAGAACCCAAGCCTCCTGGACAAAGCACAACACAATTTTCTCCGCTCAGCACAGGCTGCAGCTTAACTCAGCCTGCAGCAGTTCAGGATCTGGGGGACAGTTACTCAAGGGTTCTTTATACCAGTGGTTTTCTGGTATATACCAGGACCCATCTTTAAACATCAATGGCCAGTCCCAACCCAGTGCCCCTCACTCCCAACCCACTACCCACTGCCCCGCAGTATGTGGGCCAGGGATTGGGTGTGTGGGCCAGGGGGGGTGTGCATGAGGCATGGGGGGCCCCCAAGCAGCTCCTCACAGGCTGGAGCTCTGCCATCCTGCAAGGATAAAGCCATGGTTTCCCATGTTTACTCTTTTAAAGTAGAATCCATTTTTAAAGTTTGTTCAAGACCCTTTCATATATTCTTGTGACCCACTTTTGGGTTGTGACCCACAGGTTGAGAAACACTGCTTTATACCACTACAGCAGCATCAAAGGCTGTAAAGTTATGCCTTGAGAAGGTCCTTGGTACAGCAAGCTGTGGATCTGATTTCACGGACCCCAGAAGCTGGCCTAGGATTTCTAAACACAGGCATTAAAAACCATTAATCCAGGCCTTCAAAAACAAAACCAAACAACCTCCCCCAACCCATCCCACCAAACCAAACTGAACCAACCCCTCTCCCCCTGTCCCTCCCGCCTCCCTCCACAAGACTGACTTTAAAATAATGAGGGACATTTTTTTTGCTTGTATTTTTTTTTTTTTTAGCATATTACTTGTAAGTGAGTGTATTTGCTCTCTGAATGCTTAGGGTTTTTTTAGGTGAATTTTCTGGCCTTCTTCGGTCACCACCAAGACTAGAGATCTACATGTTTTCTTAATTCAAGATTAACTTTTTAACCAATTGCTTGACTCAAGGAGATGGGGCTTTAAGACAAGCACCAAATAGCAAGACCCGTGACATAATATGGTGAAAGTAAGTAAAACTATCACTCCTGGTGTCCTGAAGTGGGCTGTGAATCATCTGCTGTTCTAAGGGATGCTTAGTAATGAACCTTCTGCGCTGGCACCCTGACCTATCCGTCAGTTATATAATGCAGTTTTCTTTTCAAAGGCTTATGTTTTCAGGCCCCTGAGTTGAAACAAAAGCTTTGATTTCCAGGCCCCCAAGCCACCTGAGAGAGGTTCATGGTATTCACAGGCCTCCAAAACAAGGTCTGGTTACATATACATACAAGCTCACATTCAGCAGTTTGCCATCCAGTAAGTCCTTCCCCCCGCCCCTCTAGCTGTTTTCTGTCTCCTTACCTCTCTCCTTGCGAGGAGCTGGGGTGTAGAAGTGCTCTTGATCACACCGCTAGTGAGCCTTCAACTCAAAAACAAATACAGGCATGGATTGGAGGGTCGCCCCCTACCCCTGCCCATCCAAGTCATAACAGACCATTTTTTTGGGTGGCTGTTTTTTCTGTCACCATTTCATCTTCCCTCCTCATTCGCTTTCTTCCTGATGTTCCTCTGTTGGTTACTGCATGTGAACTTTGCTGTCAGAAGCTGATACGCTGAGCTAGGATTTTATGAAAGCAAACACAGTTGCAAAAGGGAAGTAAAACTCAGTCAAGATTGCAAGTGTCGATTGTGCATTGTGAGAACAAACGGAAGAGCACCTGTGCATCTGCTCCCCACTTTGCTGTACTCACAGCCCCCAAACCACATGCGACCAATAGAAAGAAATCACCTGACTGAATATTTCCAGCTGGGGGGAGGGGAAAAGATTAAATTGAAGAATGAAAGGGAAATAAGAAATAGAGGCGATATTAATCATTAGCGGCAACAGTGGTACAAGAGTCCTCCCCTCCAGAAAGTCTGGTCAGCCCCTCAGACACTAGTGATTGAATGCTGTAGGCATGAAAGTCACAAGTGCCTCCCGGGAGGAAGAAGGGCCTGAAGAGGAGAATGTTTTGGCCTGAAGAGGAGAATGCAAAACATGACACATGGGGACAGAGAGGGAAGCCATGGCTTGGGACAGAGTGGATCAGAGCTGAAGAGGGAAGAGCAAAAGCAAATCAGCTTCAGAATGCAGGTGGAGCACGGTATGGTGCTCGAGGGCTGAGTTAGCAGGAACTAGCAATGCAAGGGAGCACAGGGGAGGTCTCTGCCCCTGTGTCTCTGGTTATCCTGATACTTTTTTACTACTCTGACCTTATTTTTGACATGGCCAATGTCCCCCCTCCCCTGTGCCCCACTTTGGAGGGATGTTTGGTGTCAGCAAGACATTCTCATGCTGCATTATCAGCCCTGTGCTGTTATTTCCCTCACTGAGCACTTGCTACCTCCTGTCCTGGTGAGAGCACCCTCTGTTGGGGCTCAGCAGAAGTTCCCATCACCTACACTTTGCCCTGCAGGCTCCTCACCACCTGGCCTCTTTCTCTGCAGCCCCTGGCCAGCTCCTCTGCCTGTTGGATGTTCCTCCTCATGTTTGTCTTTCTCACTCTGTATGTCCCTTGTTCTACTGTCACTGCCTCTTCATTCAGTGGGTGACATGCCAGGGAATATATGTCTCTGCTGCTCATAAATCCTGAGAGGATACAATGGCATCCCAGCCACTGATCTCATCCAACTTCATTTTAGTACTTGTCTTTCTGAGCCAAACCCCTTTCCTGTTTCCTCGTTGCTGGGATCTTTGTTCTTACAACTTTTAGTGCCTGTTGAATTCCCACTGAGACTCCAGCCCTATTAAAATCTTACTGAAACACTTCTCCCATTACAGAGCACAGAAAGTTGTCTCTCCCTTGATGGGAACCAACATCCCTTATCACAGCTCAGCCCAGCATCTCTGGTTCTGCCATGGGTATTCTAGGCCAGGGATTCTGTGGGGCTCCCATTCTGGCACCCAAGGGGTTCCCTGTGGTCTTTGGGTGTCCCATCTCAGATCAGTTTTACCCACCTCTCTGGGTACCTGGCACTGTAGCCCACAAGCTGTCATTCGCCATCCCAGATTAGGGCAGGAAGCCCCAAGGTTTGCCGCTAAGCTGTATCATCTCATCTCAGCCTGCCAGGAAGAAGCAGCTGCCTGCATTTCCTTGCCCCCCTGCCTGAGTCGACAGCAGGTAATACCAGATTGCTGGGGGCGTGTCCGTGGTTACACCCTGGTGCTGCAGATCCCAACACGTCTCCTGCCGAGGAGTTCAGTCTCCACAAAATGTAGGTGATAAAATCAAGTATGGCTAGATAGGCAGGGAGAGGGAGACTGCAAGACAAGCAGAGAAATGGGTCAACAGCTGGAGCCAAGAGGGAGCAGAAGGAAGAGCCCATCATGCAGAATGCTACAGAAGGAATTCATACTGAAGGCAAAATTTGTAAAGCCCGTGACAAAGGGGCTAACTCACACAAGTCATGAAATAAACATAGCAAGGACCATGTGGCAGCACTTTCTCTTCTATGTGATTTGTACCCTGCACATGTGTGAGGGTTGATGTGTTGCCTGTTGGGATCAGCTAGATAAGGAGGATCTCCAGTCCTCCAGGAGGGTCAGGGTTTCCCAGTCCTGTTCAGAGGAAATCCTTTCACTCCAGATCTCCTGGCACAAGCACACAAGAATTAAACTTGCCTGTACTCCTGGGAGCTCCCCAAGGCTGTTTTTTTTGGGGGGGAGACAGCATATCTACCCATATCTACCCAAATTGCCACCCAGATTAAGATGCTGTCCCTGTGCCTGGAGCTGTCCCTTCACCGGCAGATGTGGGGGTGGGAGTGAGCTGCCAGGGAAAGAGTTAAGAGATCCTGGAAGCAGCAGCTTGGGCTGTGTCTGTTTGCTGTAGCCATGAGGGCTGCAGGCTAGAAAAGAGGAATCTGTATCACAGAGGAGCCAGACAAGAGAGTCACCAAGGAAGGCGTCTGGGGATAAGGGCAGCCCAGGCCGACACCTGCTCCCCTCAGCTCTCTACTCCCGGGAACCAGCCCTGGGACACTCCTTGCTTCCCCAAAGTGACTGGTGGTAGGAAGAATCGATGGGAAACTGAATCATCACCTGACAGCGGGCTGGCACCACGAGGGTCTTGCTGCACAGTGGAGCCTGTTTGCTACCAACCAGTGCTAGTTGGCTTTGCTTCCTGCTACCCTGTGAGCAGTGCAATTTATTGGGGGAGTCAAGAAGCACTGACTGCCTGGAGGGAAGAGCAGAAAGAGAGGGAGGCTGAAAGCATCTGCCCCAGCTGCGGACATAACAAATCTGTACACGGAGCTGAAGGGGCAGTGCCTGCCAGCTATTTATGTTGCACTCTGCCCTGTGAACCCCCTGGTGGGGCCCTTTGCCCTGGATCTGCCTGCTATGCCTGACAAGGGGATGCCTATGCAGTACTAACTGGAAGATTTCTTCATGTCCTGGGGGTCCTGTGCTGCCAGGCACCCAGCAGCAGCTCATGACGGTTGTGAAGAACTGGAGTACTTGCTCTCCTCCGTGCTGGACGAGGGTTGCCCTGGGAGTGACCTTCTGGAGCTGCCAGGGGAGGGAAAGGGATTTGAACAGCCCAGCAGAGGGGCTGTGGGTAAGATTTCTTCAGTGACAAGATGGAGATTGTCCAGCTGTATACACTGCTGATTCCAGTACAGCATGTCCTTGCTGTGACCTGGCTGTAAGTATCCTGTGGTCTGGAATGGTCCCATCTGAAGGAGCCCCTAGGGTGGGGTCAGGGCCCCATTCCCCAACCAAGTGGCTATGGCAAGTCCCACAGGGAAGCGAGTGTGGGGGACACATTCCAAAGAAGGTACTTAGAGGGGTTCTTGAATACATGAGTAGGAGAGCTCACCACCCCAAAGGGGTCAGTTTGGGGTGTCTGTTAGGGGTCCCAAGGAGAGGGGGTCAGGAAAAGACAAAGAGAGAGAAGTTGCTCAATCCTTGGGGAGGGTCAGAAATGTTATTCCACAAAGAAAAGTAGATCTCTGGGCATTTCAATAGTTTCTCCCATGACAGAAGTGAAGTAACAAAGGTGGTTCCCACTGCATGGACTATTCACCCAAGTCTTTCCCCACCTCTGAGCACGGTTCCACCCTGCTCCACAGGTACCTGGCAAAGCAACCCTCCTTGCGTGGGGTCCTACGAGATCCTAGTGCCTGTGAGGGTTTAAAGGGCCTCACAGAGGAACAGGTACGGATATGCCAGCGGCAAGCAGAGGCCATGGACTCAGTGAAGCGGGGAGCGGAGCTGGCCGTAGAGGAGTGTCAACACCAGTTCCAGAACCGCCGCTGGAACTGCTCTACTCTCCAGGGCCTGCAGGTCTTTGGCAAGGTTGCCATGCAAGGTCAGAAGTCAAGAAAGAAGCTGATGAGGAGCAGTAAATATTGAATATTTGGCTGCTCTGCCCAACTGCTTGCCTAACAGCAAACACAGCCCTAATGAGCACATTAAGGCTAACTCTTAAATCTCAACTCTCACCTTAACACATTTACCCTAGTTCTCCTAATATGCAAAACTAAATCAGTGTGCAAAACTAAATCAGTGTTAGTACTAACAGTAACTGTTGGGCTGAACCTATGTCAAGATTGAGCCCTAATGCTCACCAGGACTATTGTTGCTATTGCCCAAGCAACCCAGTAACCCTTCTGCTCTACAAGACATTCAGCCAAACCCATGGGGAACATCCTTGTGTTGGGAGAGTAAGATGTGAAAGCATGCTAAACACCTTGGAAATTGAATAGGTAGTACCTAGTCAGCTTCTAGGTGTTTTCCTTTTCCCCAAGAAGTTAAAGCACTTCTTTACTCAACATCAGAAAGGAATCTGCCTATGTTCCCACAGTAACACAGAAGTGCTTGCTAATACATTAGACACAGAAGTCCCATACTTCTTTCCTGGGACCCAGAACAGGATTGTACTCTCTGGTGCTTAGCTCCCAGAACCCTGCATGCTGGGGTTTCAGGCCTTTCCCTTGTGATGGAGTGTCCCCAGAATCACTGGGGAGCCTGATCTATGAGCTCCTTTCCCTTGGGTCAGTTGCACTCCCTTCTCCACCTGTGAGCTTGCAACCCACAAAAATTTCCCTCTCCAACAAGTGCCAAGTGTTTCCTCCCTGTCAGGAGTGGTGGGGCCCAGAGGGGAGTGCAGCCTGACAGACAGAGCCTCCTGAACACCCAACCCGGAGGGCCCATCCTCCTCATCTCCAGAACCTGAGACTTCTAGGGATGCAGCAAAACACACTTTAATGGCTTGCCTGGTTCAACCCCTTTGAATGACTTGTTCCTATACCTGCAGGGAGACACAGCAATGTTACATAGCCTGTGTCTCAGACTGCCTCTGGGTATCTAACTCCAATAACAGTGCAGCATTTCCTCCACTAGTAAAGGATCTGAATGGGGAAAAAAAATCATTCAAAAAACCCGGAGAAACCCCTGCCTTTAAAAGCCTGCTTCTCCCCCTGCTGCAGGGACAAGAGAATCTGCTTTTGTTCATGCCATCTCCTCTGCGGGAGTAGCGTTTGCCATCACTCGGGCCTGCAGTCGTGGGGAGCTGGAGAAGTGTGGATGTGACCGCAGGATCCGAGGGGTCAGCCCTGAAGGTAATAGAGGAAGAAGGGCTGTGGCTGGAGGAGGAAACTCCCCTGCTAGCAGGAGAGCAATGCATAAGACAGTAATGCCCAATGGGCGTGCCATGGTGCACTATTGTGCCATGACAGCAAAACAGAAGTGTGCTGCCAAAAATTGTGCTTTTCTTTCTTCTTTTTTTTTTTTGTATTTTAAACTGGGGGGCACCAGCTGTGTGCAGAATGGTGTGTGTGTAGAGCAGCATGTGTGCAGGGCAGTGTGTGTGTGTGCGCGTGCTTGTGTGCAGAGCAACATGTGTGCAAAGCAATGTGTGTGCAGAGCAGTGTATGTACAGGGCAGAATGAGCACAGGACAATGTGTGTGTGCAGAGCAGCTCGTGTGCAGAGCAGTGCATGTGTGTGTGCAGGGTAGTGTGTGTGCAGGACAAGCAGCAGAGCAGGCTGCAGCAGAACGCAGCACAGCTGTGTCCCTGGGGTACAGGCAATGTGAGTGGCAGTAGTGTGCAGATATTCAATCCCAGTAGCTCATCCCAATGCATGTGCAGACATCCAATCCCATGCACCCCGAGGGCAAACTGGGTGACCCCCTGGGGCCCCACACTTTAGGGGGCCAAATTACACATCAATGTTGTATTAAGATACTTTCATTGCAGTTGCATGGATAAGGCAAAGTGAAACTGAAATTTAAAATGTCTGACTTGCTTATAGGTCATCAGAATTAAGCCTCTAAGGGGCCCCAAATGACTCGCTTGCCCAGGGCCCCAACTCGCTTGCCCAAGGCCACCGCTGCACTCAGCCCTCACTCCCACCATACAGAATTTCAGGGAGACCTTGCCAGAAAATGTCCCTTTGCACCCCAGGCTGCCTCAGCCATGCCTGTGACCTACAGCTTCCCAGAACAACACAGAATTTTTTACAACTCCCCAGCTGCTACCCCTGCTTGACCTGACACCACGTTCTCCGAGGTGGGCTTTCCCTGTGCCTGTATTGCTGCCACTTATCCCAACTTCTGCTCCCTGGCTGCAACACTAGGACTGGACAACTGCAAATTGCATTTGCGCCACCACTGCCCCCCTTTTCCCTGCTTCCCTTTTCAGATGTAAGAGTGAAGTGTGCTGTCAGTGCTAATACAGAAAAAGGTGTGCCCTGGGTATCAGAAGTTTGAGATACACTGATATAAGGAGAGAAGGGCAGAATGCCAGAGGCTGCGAGAGAGAGAGCAAAAGTGGAAAAACACTTAGTTGCCATCACCTGTTCAATCTCTCTTCTAGCATCCACTCTATGCTGCTGCATGATGCAAGAGTCTGGGCAAGATGGACCTCTGGTCTGACCCAGTCAATGGCAGTTATTATGTTCAGAACACATCTACCTACACATCTCTGCAAAGGGGACAATGTCAGAGAGGAAAATTAACAGGGGTGGAAAATAATGCCTCTGCATACCCCTGGGATGGTCCAGTACAAGGAGACTGGTGACAGGGACAGATCATATAATCTTTTCTCCGCTTTAAGGGAATGAGTGTTCTTTTCTGCATTCCTTCCTTCATCCCTACTCCCTCAGTCTGGAGTACCTCCATATCTCTACTTCAGGGCTGCCCAACTGGCAACCTGCAGGCTGTGTATGGCCAGCAAGTGGCCCACAGAGCTTGCTGGCATGGATCCGGAACCCAGGGGAACCCATCACTCCCATCCCTTCCCCACTGCCAAATTCAGGGCCTTTAGTAAACAGTGGTGATGCAAATCAATGGGAAGGGAAAAGAAGGGGTGAGCAGTGGTATTGGCCACCCCCTCTTTCCAGCACTGTGCCAACAGAGGTAGGCTATCTAGTCTGTCAGGAGCCTTGCAGTCTGGATCCAGCCCACAGGGCCAAATGAATGGACCACTGCTGCCCTACCTCATCAACATGTCTCTCTGTCCTAGGGTTCCAGTGGTCAGGCTGTTCTGATAACTTGTCCTATGGAATTGCCTTTTCTCAAGCCTTTGTGGATAACCCAGAGCGGAGCCGTGGCATCTCCTCCAGTCGAGCTCTCATGAATCTGCACAACAATGAGGCTGGTCGGAAGGTGAGGCCAACATTAAGTGCTAGAGAAAACATCCATATGTTGAGGACCTTCCCCCGATATCAGACCCCAGCCCTATCCCCACTCCCTTTGTCCACCAACTGCCCCAGGAGAGCCTGACCCCTCTGAGCAGATCCACTTTTCTGGGCTTTTATTTCAGGGTGTTCCTCAAACTCCAAGAAAAGCATGTTCTGTATAGACTTTGGGGTGATCTCCAGTTCCCCACCCACTGCAGAATAGTTTATTTGCCCTGCTACAAGCTAGAAGTGGATCAGCTTCTGTAACATGAAACATTTTCCCTTACTGTGCTCTCAGTGGCTCCCCATCCCTCTGTCTGTTTCTGAATGAACATATGACTTTCATTAGCCAGAGCCTTGAGGGTGGGTCCTGCACACCCCATCTCACTGAATGGCTCCCGCTCTGTTCCTTCATTTCAGAGTGGATCCCCTTTCCTCTCCTGCTTGAGTACAGTAGATCCCTTTGACAAATCAGAGCCCGCCTGTTTCCCTCAGGGTGGATCCCTTTCCCCTTTGCACACAACTTTCTGTGAATAGATCTTTATTATACCTTGCAGCACCTCCCCTCCCACCTGACTGAGGATGGATCCCTTTCAATTAGTGTGAAGGGAACCCTTCAGCAGATGAGTGGAGCAATTACCTCTGCAGCAAGTATATTTCTCATCCCTGAGTGAAGGGTCTCTCCCGACACACATAGCTGGCAGACTGTTTTCCTTGGCCTTTATGTCACACCTCCTTCCCACAAGCTGTGGCCCTGGGAAGGGGGAAGGTCCACTGTGACTCAGGTCCCCTTCTCCATGCCTGGGCAGGCTTTATGGGGCAGAGAGAAGCTTAGCAAGGCCTCCTGCCTTTTTTGAAAGTTGCCATCTTCTTGCCAGGCCATCCTGTCCCACATGAAGGTGGAGTGCAAGTGTCATGGGGTATCAGGCTCCTGTGAAGTGCGTACCTGCTGGAAAGTGATGCCCCCATTTCGCAAGGTGGGCAATGTCTTGAAGGAGAGATTTGAGGGGGCAACCGAGGTGCACCCAAAACGAGTTGGTTCACGCAAGCTCCTGGTGCCCAAGAGCTCCCGTTTCAAACCCTACACAGCTCATGACCTGGTCTACTTGGTGGCCAGCCCAGACTTCTGCAACTGGGATCCCCGCCGCGGAGTTTTTGGCACCTCTGGACGCCAGTGTAACCGAACATCCCATGCCATGGATGGCTGTGAGTTGCTGTGCTGTGGGCGAGGCTTTCGCACAGCCCAGGCTGAGGTGGTGGAGAGGTGCAGCTGCAAGTTTCGCTGGTGCTGCTCTGTGAAGTGCAAGCAGTGCCGGCACCTGGTGGAAGTGCACAGCTGCCGCTGAGTGGGAGCAGTCAAATGGGGCAGGGCAAGTGGCACGGGGGGAGAAAAGGAGGAGAGTGCCACCCTGCTAAGCACGGGCAACTCTGGGGAGAAAGTGGGAGGGCATGGCTCAGAGAGAAGGGCCAAGCACTCCCCTGAGGAAAACATCTGTGGGATAATGCAAAAGTGGAAAGGAAAAGACACCCTTTGCCAGCTTGAGAGAGAGGGGAACTGAAAGCTCCAGAGGGTGGCATCTCTTGGGGAGACACACATGGGCTGCTCCTCTCAAAGAGAGGTCTGTGTAGGGATGCACTGGATATTAGGGGTTATGGTTTTACTTGTTTTTATTGGCTCGTTATTTTATATACTCATGATTTTTTTGGACGTGGGGTTGAACTCATAGTCGAGTAAGCCCTTAAAATATTAAGAATAAAATGATGGTATTAGAAAGAGACACATGTGTTTGCTCCTTCTGTGTATGAAATCTCAGGTGCTGTCCTGGCAGTCTGCCATAGGAGACTAGGGTGGGACAGGCAGATGCTGCAGCCAGAGCCCAGGGCCATTTGGATGCAGTTAAATGAGGAGCACCAGTGAATATATAGAGAAACAGTGAATATATAAAGAAACAGCGCATGTACAAGGGACACTGGTGAAGAAGCCAGTGTGGGGGGAAAGGGCACCAGTGGGAGGATTCAGTTGATTATAAAGCACAAGAAGCTAAGGACACAGAATAAGCAAAGCATGTAGGTTAAAGAGGCTCTTTATAAAACAAGATTCAAAATAAAGAAACCTGCTAAGGAGTGGCACCCTGGGCAAAGGGGTATCTCTTGGGAAGACACACATGGGCTGCTCCTCTCAAAAAAAAGTGTGGGGATGCAGGAGACGCTGGGGTCTCCGAGCAAGGCCCAGGAGGTAGGAACCAGAAAATGGACAGTGACTCAAACCAAATGTGCTCAGGTCAGAAGCCTCTTCCATCCCGTTGTTGAATAACTACTCCCAACTGCTAGGTCTCAAAGGCACCACAGAGACACTTGTTCAAATAAGCAATGCCCAGGCTGGTGCCAAATAAAACTCTGTGGTCAGGGATTCTCCACTGTGGGGGCAACACAGAGACCATATCAAAAGCCTTGCTAAAGTCAAGTATGTCTTGCATTCACAGAATCAGCCATCTTGTCATAGAAGGCAATGAGGTTGGTCAGGCATGACCTGTCCTTGGTGAATCCACATCATTCATGCTGTGTGGAGTCTGGAGAAGACTTTGGCAGTGGTGACTCAGTGGTGCCCCTTCTGGCTCTGTGTACGGGTGGCTCCAGGCATGGGCTAGCCCCAGGCACAGGCCATCTTGGATCCAGCCATAGGCTGGCCCTAGGTCCTTGTGGGGACAGCCTTCCTAGCAGAGGTTCCCCAGCCTGGTAGCTGTTGCTTTGACTAATAGTGCTGCCTCTCATTTTCATAGTTTCATAGTTTCATAGTTTTAGGGTCGGAAGGGACCTAATAGATCTTCTAGCCCAACCCCCCTCCAGGGTGGGAGAACAACCCAAAAAAAAAAAAACACAAACCCTAAAAACAAAAACAGGACTCAAATGAGTCCAGCCAGGTAAGTATCCAGCCTCTTCTTAAAGATCCCCAGGGTAGGGGCCAGCACCACCTCCCTTGGAAGTTGGTTCCAGCTCCTAGCCGCCCTAACTGTGAAGTAGTTTTTTCGGATGTCCAATCTGTACCTCCTCTCCATCAACTTGTGCCCATTACTCCTTGTTATGCCAGCGGGGGCTAGGGGAAACAGCGTCTCCCCCAAACCCTTCTGGTTCCCCCTAGTGAGTTTATAGACGGTCACCAGGTCCCCCCTCAGCCTTCTCTTGTGGAGGCTGAATAGGTTCAGGTCCCGCAGTCTCTCACTGTAGGGTCTGCCCTGTTGTCCCCGGATCATGCGGGTGGCCCTCCTCTGGACCCTCTCCATGTTGTCCACATCCCTCCTGAAATGGGGCGCACAGAACTGGACACAATACTCCAGCTGCGGCCTGACCAGCGTCGCATAGAGGGGGAGGATCACCTCCCTGGCTCTACTCGAGATGCACCTGTGGATGCACGACAAGGTCCGGTTAGCCCTGCCAACCATGACCTCGCATTGTCGGCCCATGTTCATCTTGGAGTCAATAATGACACCAAGATCCCTTTCCGCCTCCGTGCTCTCAAGTAGGGAGTTCCCCATCGTATAAGTGTGCTGCTGGTTCCTACTACCCAAGTGCAGCACCCTGCACTTGTCCGTATTGAAACACATCCTGTTCCTGTTTGCCCACCCCTGTAACCTATCCAGATCCTTCTGCAATCTCTCTCTCCCTGCTAGCGTGCTCACCTCCCCCCAAATTTTGGTGTCATCAGCGAATTTAAACAGGTTGCTTTCCACCCCAACATCAAGATCGCTGATGAAGAAATTGAACAGCGCAGGCCCCAGGACCGAGCCCTGGGGGACTCCACTACCCACCTCCCCCCAAGTCGAATATGATCCATCCACCACCACCCTCTGAGTGCGACCCTTCAGCCAATCTGCAATCCATCTGACCGTGTAGGCGTCTATGCCACAGTCGCCTAGTTTATTAATTAGGATGGGGTGAGAGACGGTGTCAAAGGCCTTGCTGAAGTCCAGAAAGACTACATCCACTGTGACACCTGCATCCATGGCCTTTGTGACCTGATCATAAAAGGCAATCAGGTTGGTCTGACATGATCTCCCCCTAATAAATCCATGCTGATTGCCCCTGAGCATCATTTCTGATGCCGGCCCATCACAAATGTGCTCCTTGATGATCTTCTCTAAGAGCTTCCCCAGGATTGAGGTAAGACTGACGGGCCTATAGTTGCCCGGGTCCTCCCTTTTCCCTTTCTTGAAGATGGGGACCACATTAGCTACCTTCCAATCGTCTGGCACCTGGCCCAAGCACCACGATCGCTCGTATAGCCGTGCCAGGGGCCCTGCAATAACCCCAGCTAGCTCCTTCAGCACCCTGGGGTGGAGAGCATCCGGACCCGCTGACTTGAACGCGTCCAGCCCCTCCAGAAGCTCTCTAACCCGGTCCTCCCCAACCTGAGGTCTGAAGGCGATCCCCTCGCGTCCGGCTTCTATCACAGCAGGGAAGCAGGGAAATTCTTCCCTAGTTCCTTTTTCTAAACTCTCATATTCAGACAATCATGATAAAATGACACTCATCTTAGTGTCCTGAAGGTGCTCTGAGTGGAAATTGACAAACTCCTGACTGAAGTATGCAACCTATAATTGAAAACTTCCTCAGTACCAGAGGACTGGAGTGTTGCCAATGTGACTCCCATATTTAAAAAGAGGCTCTAGACAGGACCCAGGCAACTACAGGATGGTGAGTCTAACTTCTGTTCCTGGAAAACTGGAGAAACAACAGTAAAAAAACCCTATTGTTCAGCACATGGATGAATATAACTTCCTGGGGAGGAATCAGCATAGCTTTGTCAAAGGGAAATCATGCCTCAGTCATCAACCTACTTGGAGGATGTCAATAAGCAGGCAGATCAGGGTGATCCAGTTGACATAGTATATCTGGACTTACAAAAAGGCTTTGACAGGGTTCCCCTTTGGAGGCTTTAAACTAAATTCGGTAGTCATAGTATTGCAGGGAAGGTCCACTCATAGATTAGAAATTGGTGTAAAATAAGGCTGTTAATTAATCACAGTTAATGTGCACAATTAATGCAGTAATCAGTTCTTGATTATTTTTTTTAATCACAGTTAATTACATATGTGGTTCTGAAGCCTGTGCCCAGGCTTCACTCCACCGCTTCTGGGATGCCCTGCAGGGCAGCAGTGGCAGCACAGAGGACTGCAGGGCAGCTTGGTCACAGGCTCCGGGCAGCTGCAGTGCGGGGGGAGTAGGGTGAGGTGAGGTGTCCACACACAGACACACATGAGCAGCTAAAGCCTGCAGGCTGCATATAGAGCAGCCCCAACCCAGTAAGTCTGTGGAAAGGGAGGGGCAGGGGGAAAGGGAAAGGGCAGATTAAGGCCCCCATGGTGAAGGAGGGAGTGAGGCAGAGGTAGGGGCAGGGCTGGGGTGAATGGGGCCCTGGGGCTGGGGCAGGTCATGGGACAGAGCCACAGGATGACCATCTAGGGGTGCAGGTGTGTGTGGCTCCCTGCTACTGCACCCCCCCCAGGGGAAGCATGGGGGGCATGTGCACCCTGATTTATGCATGGGGCAGAGGCAGGCTGCATGCTGTGGGCTGGGGCTCTGTGCC